AAATTCACATCTCGAATGTTTTGCCCTGTTGGTTCAGAGATCTTTTTGCCTTAAAAGCACATAGAGCACTCTGTGTTTACGATCAGACTGTTGAAATGTCAAGGCTAATTACACTAGTGTGTTCCCAAGTGAATAAATGCATCTTTTAAAGAATATCCTGTTGAGATCAACGAAATAAGATGTTGGCATGATCACTTGCAAACTACTTAAAGGAAAAATGATAATAAAAACCAGGATCTAAATATTGGAAAATAGAGATGGGAGAAACCTATTAGTTCACCTCATCCATTCTACATTGGTGCAAGGTTGTGTGGTTTTGGGGTTTTTTTAATATTCTGTTGCGGAGTGATTTCTCTTTTGGTCAGTCTAGTTCCAGATGGTTGAAAAACTGGAGCCTCCAATACTTACTTCCCTTAAAGGACTGCTGGGTGGTTTTTTTTCCCCCTTTTGCTCTAAGTTTCATCCTCTTCAGTTCTGCTTTTGAGATGTAAATTTTGGCCAGACACTGGGGTTCAATTTTGTTTCCAAATCATCTGGGTAATTTACATTCCATCTTTGAAAACAACAGAGGAACTGGGGAGCCAGAGCCTCACTAAGATGAATGTGACTTGGCTTCTGGCACAGACATCACTTTTGGATGCTCGGGCCCCCCAGATAAGCCATGTTTGCTCTGTCCGTGTCTGCATTTGCACCAACACAAGTAGATCGTATTCCTTCAGACACAGTACTGCTTGTGTGAGAACGCTGTATTTTGAGTCTCCAAAATGCAGTAGCTTGCTTATCCGCCGCTTTTGCTCCTGTGGGGGAATCTGGTGTGGTCATGGCCATTTGAAGTACTGTCTAGGATCACGCTATCTTCTGCCGAGATCCGTGCTGTTGCTGGTGAAGGCAATGCACCAAATGCGTTAGTTCATCAGATTAAGTAGACGTAGATGGTTGGGAGTTGGCTTTCTGTTACGCCCGCTGTAGGGTGGCACTTTGTGACAGTGCGACGCTGGTGGTCTTCACCAGGGGCTGCGTTATGCTCCGAGCATCTCTGCGTCCAGGTGACGATCGCTTCCCTCTCGGAAGGGAGGTTGGGGGGGAACAGAAGCATCCTGTGGGTTCCTGCTAGATTTGAAAAGGCCACTCCTAAGATGAGGATTTTGTCGTGCTGGTGGAAGTTGAAATTTGCTGAACGTCAGAGGACACTGTGTTCAAATCGTGTTGGAAATGTACAGACAATAGAAGATGCTTCCCCGGGTGTTCACAATATGTTTGTAAGCAGACACATTGGCTTGTGTTGACTAGATTTATATTTAAGTCTTGGCTTGATATTGGCAAAATTTTTCAAATTTCTTTAATTAGTGGTAATAGTGCACGTGGATTCTTCGTGATATGTGCAAAGAATTATTTAAAAAATAATTTTCTGAACTCTTGAGAATAAGTCAAGGCAGCAAAAAAATAACATAAATCATTTCAGTTAACATACAAAGCATATAATTGATACTAATTAAAGTTTGGGGTCTGGCTGATTTTAATAAACATTACATAAAATGTAAATAAAATATCGAGGCTTGAATTACTTAGTTTTAAGTATTTTTTCTTGACTTTCCAAAACCAGTTTTCAACTTCTTAACTCTCCCATTTAATTTTATTTTTATTTTTTTATTCCTGTCTTATTGTTACATTATTTCTTCTTTGTGTTCTGTCACATACAACATCTGAAACCTGCAGTTGCCTGGTATGAAATGGGACTTAAACACAGTTGCAAACAAAATTTCAGGCCATGTGAAAAGAGTGAGGCTGTGACAGTAGACAGTAATGATAGTAAAAACTATTGTGTTAAAACATCCAGAATTACAGATTCAGAGCTTCAGTGTGTTCATTTGTTATAAAAAAAAAAAGTGTGATTGTAAGAGTTGGGGCCACACTTACGGTCTTTTTAAAGATAAATTACTTCTAGTATTTTTACTAAGGCTGGTCCAAAGCCCATTAAAATCAAAGGGAAACAAGTACGTATGTGGCTCAGACCCCTGGTGCTTACTGTAAAGGTGTGGGTTGGGTGGTTTGTTGTTGTTGTGGGGTTTTTTTGTTTTGTTTTTTTTAAATATGCCTCTGTGGTTCTGTAGTGATGAGTGTGTGCGGTATTAGTGGCAGTTAGACTCAGTCTGCAGGTTTGAATTTGTTCAAGGGCTTTTGGTGAGCTAATTTCGGCCTAACTGCGGTGCCAGTCAGGTGCTGTTTGCCTTCCTGCCGCCCGGGGAACGTCAGAAGCTGGGACCAGCGGCAGAAGGTGGGTGCTGTGGCTGACGGGG